GTCAGTCCTACAGATCGAGTCCAGGTTGAAAGAGTTAATATCCAATACCAATTTAGTGAACAAGCCATACAGCTAAATAATACCCACTAAATAGTCTCTTGTAACATATTTACCATACTGAATAAGTATGCTACATTACTATTATCAATTTACTTTCTACATATGAACAATTCATGAAGTACCATACTTATTTGATTGCATAGCTGCCAACAACAGTAAAGATCAGTTTTCATATTTTATATTCAGACTTTAGATTTGAAATATCTTAAATTATTATATGTCCTTTTAATTATCTATTACTTTTATTTTTCATAAATCTTAAACATGTAAAACAATTAAAATTATGTCTCTCCAGAAATGTGAATATGTATTACTATTTACACCAACTTGTCTTGCTACATGATTGAAGCCCAATACATTGAATACAAGAATTAAAAATGGTCTCAGTTGCAATAAAAAAACGATAAACAACTGAACATTATTTCAGGTTTAATAGGATTACAGGAAGAGTCCCTTAGTTATTATACAAACCAAAAACGGGGGAAAAAACCACTCGGTCTCCTTCAATCAGTACTCCAGATAGCTAGCGTATCTATGCAAAATATGCATAATTTTTTGAGAGATGCACGTCATTTTTCTATTTTACACATATCAGTTGTTGATGTCGTATCACCAACATGCTACAATATGAATTGATGTGCCTACTGGTTGTACACTGTGAAAATGGCTATTTTTTCCATGAAGATACTTGCATTGTGGTTGAAAAAAAAAAAGCAAGCCACTACTAGAAGTATTATGATACATCAAACTATTGATAGGTTGCGATTATGAATGTCTCAATAGCAATGTATCATTGGTAAATTTTAGAACGGATAACAATCACTGATAGTACCCTCAACTATGAATGTTTTTCATAGTTTGCAAACTTGGTTATTTTCCAAATTCTGGTTTAAGCCATTTCTTCATAATTTTCCTTTGTTTTAGACTACTTTACAGTCTCTATTTACTTGTAAGCTTATAAGTGCATGTGTCACATCTACCATCAGCAGTGTTGCTTGTGCAATGGATCGAGCCTATATTGAAGAATTTCTGATTACTATAATTCCAAGTTTACTATGTGTATCTTCACAGAAAGCAGTAGTCAACAGCAACACACTGCTAACTGTTGAGCTACTACTGTCTGACCAAATGGTGGGATTTGATTATAACCCTCATAATACAACCATGGCCCCAAAGTTTAAGCCAAAATTATTTTTTTTTGTGGTGATATAAAGCAATTCAAATACCCACAGATCCATAGTATAGAATGCTGACCACTGATCAACATTCACTACATTCATAGGTGGGAGATACTTAATTTAGTATTATATACATAGATGATAAGCCCATATTTTCATTCTGTTATCTTGAATTATTATAAACTTTAGCAAGTTAAGAAATACTGCATACAGCATGCTTAAGCTATTATTAATATCCTAAGAGCTAAACAGTTGTGCAATGCTATTTTCAATTTTATAAGTTTCAACATAATATCTGCATAGTTTGAACACAAAGCTTTAATAATATTTATTACAAACCTGTGTTAAAGACTGAGGATGCATCACAACTATTAACAAAATATCCCCTTTACTAGAATTGCGGACAGTCAGCTGACGCCAAAATCCTTCATATGTTTCTGGATTGTAAGGCTCTTTATCAGAGTTTTGGACATACTTCTGAAAGACCTAAGAAAGTAAATAACAGGAAATGTTAAATCAATATATAGGCAATATGTTTCCAATTATAAACATAAAAGTTTTAACACAACCATGCAATCTCATAAGCACATAAATGATCAATTATGAACAATTTTACAAAGTATTTAAACATTAGAAATTGTAACATTTGCAAAACTAAAATAATGTATAAAAAAACGATGTTTTGAAACATTAATAACATGCTTTCTTTTTACACACAGTGTAGTTAAAAAAAATAGGAATTGTTTCTATATGTGCCAAGTGTTAAGTTTAATATACTATTTTTAGCCTTTTACACTACTTACTATTTTGTATTTTCAACCCCAATGGTACTTTATGTGGTATAAGAGATAAACAGTTAGGTCAGAGACTGCTAAGGTTCAGATATGTATTCAGCCCTAATTTAGAACTGCAAACCAGAAGAAGGACATTCAGTTGAAAGCACCCACCACCTATACAGCTAGTTTTCAACGAATAGCGAGACTACACAGCTGAAAGTTAACATTATCCTAAACTGAAAATATATTTCCAATTGATACTTGTGCTTAACACTAGCCTTGATACTCTCACTTACATGAGACAGCTGCATGCTAACGTGTAATTGATTATGCAGCATTGCACGCCAACAGGAGTGCAATGCTACCTCTATCATAACTAGTGCTCTCTCTAATCTTGCAGCTGTTAATCACTTCGAGATTGGACAGATCACATCAAACTACATCGTAAATGGGGAGGACAGGTGGGAAATGTGAGCTGAGGTATCTATCAGAAATACATTTTCAGTTTCAGAAAATATTAACTTTCGATATGATATCTTACCTCCTCTCACAAAAAACTAGAATCCCACACTGAACAGGTGGAAGGCCAGTGAGAAGATGATCCACCTTTAGGAAGCAACTAAAGGAAAACCATGGGATTGAGAATGAACTAATAACAACTCAACCGTGGGAGACCGCACCACTTCTGAGCCATGTATACTCTTTGCCAATTATTAATGTGTTGCCAAAAAGGCAGAAGCAAAGGAGGGACCCCACAAATAGTTACAGATATAAAGAGACCCCTTGGTGTAGAGTGGCTAGGGCATGAAAGACCAGAAATGGGAGTTCAACCTCAACCAACACCTGGCAGCATCTGTAGTAGGAAGAGGATCCTCTACCTTTCACCTCAAAAACAGGTACTGGCAGAGAAGAATAGCTTCTATACAAAGAACCTGCCTCCACATGTGTGCACCTCCAATTGAACCAACACCAGATCCACCATGAACTGACATTCAGTGGATGGTAAGAAGAGGGGCTGCTATTTGGGGTTGCATTTTCTGTCCAAATCCTGGTGGCATTGGGAATTTATCTTCCAGTCAGCAGTAGAAGGAGGGTAACCATCCAAACAAATGTAAGATTTTATGTGGCTGGTCTGGCTCAACCAACACCAGATCCACTGGGAATTGCATCCAGTGGATGGTAGGAAGGAGGGTGCCTCAGCCAGAGAGGCAAACTGCAATATATATGGTGGAGTGCTACATTCAACACCTGGCTGCATCTGGAATTGAACATCAGGTGCATGGTAGGAAGGGTGTCATGCCATCTAAACTGGTAGAATGCTACCACCCTACTCTCAAACTAAGTGGTATTGTAAACACTCAGGAGGACAGGCCTCTATGGTCCACCACCCCAGCAGTCTGGTCAGCGGTAAGAACTTCCATACTCCACAAGAGAGAAAAAGAGTATACCTTATTTTGAAAACCTGAACTATCATGTTGGTAGGGTCAATCAACCAACACCTAGCAGAATCTGGAATTGTACATTAGGTCCACAGTAGGAAGAACCTCAAATGCCACAAATCATCATAGATGGGCTGTGTTCCATGTCTGCTTTACTAATGTCCATGAGTGTATGGTCCAGGACAAACATATTTATGAAGCAAAATACTGTGGGGGTATACCTACTAGCAGTCTTGCGGAACACCCCATATCAATGGTGGGCAGAATATGACCTAGTTATGTCTAATAACATTTTATTTTGAAATGCATAGAGATCACGTTGACAGAATCGATCAACCAACTCTTAGCAGCATTTGGAATAGTACACCAGGTCCACAGTAGGAAGAACCTCAATGCCTTGGATAACCTGATATGCTATATGAGCACAGATCTTACAGTGCAGATTTAAGACTAAGTATACTTGGTCAGGCAACATTTGCCAATGAGTGGGATCTAAATCAACAACAAAGGCACCTGCAAAGAAGATTAATGGAACATTTACCCACTCAAAGAGAAAACGTAAAATGTGTAGCACAAATTGGCGAATGGAGGAAGACAAAATCTCTTGGAAAAAGAAATGGCCAGTTTGTGAAGATAAAAAGTAGTAAAGATATGGGGAGTTTTCCACATTATGACACCAAAGAAGTCCTCCAACGGATGATAGAAATGATTAGCCAGGGACAAGACAAAGTGACCAATATGAAGGAAAGTGCTCAGAAAAGACAAAGTCAATCTTAGTAAAGAAAAAATAAGCCAGGTGAATATACTGGCAAATCCTACCATAATGATAATTAGATAATGGTGACAGGACTGGGAAGGATTCAAAGGAAGAAACAATGGGAGCAGTCACCATGGAAGGAATCAGTGCACACCCCATAACAGAGAGAACCTGAGCAGTGATAAACTATTTTCAATGAGATACAGGGCACCCAGAATATGACAAGCCAGCACAAAAATTTGATGGCTATGGCTCAACACAGAAAGACCAGTGGCCTATACCAGAGGTTACAACTGAGTACCCACTGGCCTGAAAATGCATGAGACTAAACATGAGCAGTCGAAAAACACTACCATGACTGTCCCTGTAGGACTGGAATGAAGTGAACCAGAGTTCAATGAACTACTCGGAGCCCACAGGGATGGAAAGGTGAGAGGACTCCATGAGAATAGCTATAAAATTACCCCAAACGTAAAGGGGGAGCACCAGAGAAAAAGAGACATTACAGACTCAGAGGAGGAAAATCCTAAAAGGTATTGACCAAATCCAGGCAATGTTGGTCTAGAAGGAAGGATGAAGGGAGCATCTAAGAGATCCCAAACAAGGCTCATTTGGACCAACAAACTCACATAAGACAAAACATGAGGACTTGACCAAGAGGGATGAGGACTACCTGAGAAGTCCATGTCCTCAAATGAGAAGAGAAATAAAGGAGGAAAGGATGTAAACTAGAATCGCCCTAGCCCTAAACCAAAAATGGAGAAGACTTGGCTCAACTGAATAGGGAATAAAACAACACCACCCCAAGATGAATGAGGTATGGCATGGGGGAAGAGAAAAAAAATATTTCCACCCTCACCAACCAATCAACCCGAGCCTCTACTCTAAGAAAAGGCAGGATTGACTTGTGAGGAAGCCAAATGTCCATGCCATGGTGGAAACGATGGCTCCTGGAAAAGAACAAGATGAGCAAAGTCCCGCACAATCTGAATTGGAAGGATCCGAGAAGAGGTCCAACGAAGTCCAGACTGAAAACACACAACTCCTACAGACCCCAAAGAAAATCAGAATGCAGGGGGAAGTTAATGAGGAGAAATGCATCTGACACAACACCCTCATTCTTTACAAACCAGAAGAGAAAACCCAACTAAGGACTAATTACGACCACATGGTGAAATATGAAAGGACTAATAAATGGTAGAAAATCAACCAAGCAATGATAGAGTACCAGTCCTCCAACTTCAAAGGGACAACAAACACTACCCATGATAGCACCCTTGCAAAGCAAATCCCAAAGCACCTCCTAAATACTTTGGTAGAAAATGGAAACCTGAGGAGGAGGGAAATTCTTAAAATGAACAGACTAAATGTGATCACTTCAGAACCCAAGGATCTGAGAGAAATTATCTTTAAACTTGGGTAAAGCTGTTTAAAACATTGTTGTACCATATCTCATGTTGTAAGAATGTTTGTATAATGTACAGCAAAGTCAAAATGAGCCAATTGCCACTTCCAACATGTGGAATTGAACCCCGACCCCTAGTGTTGGAAGTCCATATAATAGCATTGTCCTATCAAAGGAACATGAGTCCAGCCCGCACTGGACCCAAACCCACACGAAATTATCAAGACCGCCAGTTTCCCCAAAAACAGCACCCAAAGGACTGACAGTGAACTTCAAACATTCGGGAGGTCAGAATCAAGCAGGTGGAGGAATGGGGATAAGGTGGGAGAAAAGTAAAGCCAAGTGAAGTTATGCAACAAGGCTGATCTATCCCTGGGCTCCCAAAATTTGGGAATGCCCCCCAAAAAAACACCTAGTATAAAACAAAAGTGCCATACTTGAAAACCGATTTAAGAGGGTTCGATCCCCACAAAGGAACAAGCCACTCCAAATTCTATAAGCCTATGAAGGGAAATGATAAAACATATACCTGATTGAAAAAAGGTCTACCAAAGGGAAAAGCAGGCCTGGACATCTCCCCCCAAATGACATGCGACTGTAATTTATAGGCAGCTCAAATCATCATGTACATGAAGCATTACAAGATATAAGAGGTCAAGCACCAGGTGCTCAGAAGTTAAAAAAAATGTAGCCAACTACTAGTGGACAGCCGTTACATCCTGAGCCAATATAACTTGCTCAGATGCCTTGGAAGTGGCAGACAAATCAGCTGTAGTAGATACAGCCACCGAATTAGAAGCCACTTATAATCACACATATCTGACGAGTAGAGTTGAAAGGAAAACAAAAGAGAAGTTTAACTCCATAAAAAAAGAAGTCTCAAGACTGTACAAATTTCAAAAAAAAATTACAGCTCAGAAAAACATAAGAATACGTGGTCAAAAATTTAAACTGTAAACTTTGGCAATTAAGTGAAAAAATCAATATGAAATCATGTCCAAACTGTAACACTGCCAATCGAGAAGTGATTAAGGGCTGAAAGATTGGAGAGGGTGCTAGTTAGGATAGGGATAGTGTTGCACTCCTATTTGAGGAAGATTGCTGCATAATCATTTGCATGTTAGCATGCAGATGTCTAACATTAACATACATGAGAGTAAGTGGGAGTATCAAAGCTAGGTGCGAGCGTAAATTTGCACCTATAGAGGGCAGTGTAAGTAGAGAAAAGCTTTTTGTGAGTGGAGGTAAAATATTGTAATGGAAGTACAGAGTATATTCAGTAGCATATCATAGCTTGAACCTTGGAACATTCAATCCACAGTCAGGCAAACTAGCCATTGCATTATGCCTGAACCAAAAATTATTAAACATGAAAGTTTTAGTAAGCTGTAGGTGTTAGCCAATAAAAAGTTTACAGTTATTAGTTATCACTTGCTATTTAATTAATGAGTAGAACTGGGTAAGCTTGAATGATATATGAGCTAGAGACTGCACACATGTAATATATCACAAGACAGTCTTCATAAACAACACATAAACTTATTAAAAGAAAATTCATGACTACTGTGCTTATGATAGCTCATATTGTAAAAATTAATAAGGCCAAAATTTTACTCTCTTCTAAGTAAAATTAAGAAAAACAGTTACACGTTAAGGCACTGAACAGAATGTACTCACCTTAACAACCTGAAGCATAGGTTTGGAAATATTCATGCACTGGTCAGGTTCTCCAATAAACATACAACCATCCTTGTAGCTACTTAAACGAAATCCCACAGTAACCTCCGATGACTCCACATGTCTTCCTACAGTAAATTCACATTTATTTCGATAGCCAGTAGTAACAGGAGATTCTCTGATTGGTAGTAATGGACAACACTTAAAATCATTTTGTTCCCTTTAAAAACAAAAAGAAAATTATGTTTATAAAATCCTTAAAAAATAATCTGTTAAAACTAATAAAACAGGTGCTGAATGATAAATAATCAAAGCTACACCAACCAAATAAATTTACATAAAACAGTACATATATGGCTTAGCAAACTAGTTCAAAACAACAAATTTTGTGTTTAATAATACTTTTCCAGGTTCTTGTATTCAAATTTCGAAAACTTTCACTCATGTGGACTATTAGCCTGACCATTGGCATCATTATTAAAGTTACTTCACTTAAAATTAACTGTTAAAAGATTATTAACCCTTCTCAAACTGAGATAGTATCACTGATATCCCCACATTCTTCCTTCTAACAATGGAAATACTTAAAGTACGTGAAACTTTGGATTAAATTCCTAAACAGTATCTAGTTTCTGCTTTAAAAATCTCTATATCCCTTTTTTTTATCCCTTTATATGTCCTGAAATCGCCAAACTTTTGTTGTGAGACACTTCTCTGAAAAAAGAAAAAAATACTTCCTTTTATTTTACAAATTCAATTTGTATTTAATCGTTGATCAGATAATTCCATTTTATATATATATATACAGTCAATTTAAACTTGATTGATTTTTATTAAAGTATTTCTTTTCATACTTTATTTTGAACTGAAGTTGTCACCATTTCTGGCAATAAACTGTAAAAAACACCAGACACACTGACCAAGATTTACTGGTCACTTAAGACCAGTGGTGGGATTCAGCCGGTTTGCACCGGTTCATGCGAACCTGTTCTTAGAATTTAATGACCTCCACGAACCG